AAAAGCTAGCTTCTTCTACAAAAGAAGCAAAGCTAAACATGCTCTAAATATCAATATGCAAAAGGCTCGTGGATTATTGTGATCTTCCTTGGAAATACAATATATACAAACAAAACCACCCTTCCTTAGAGGACAAAAACTTAAAATCTTCACAAAAAGATGATGTTGAGGAGCCCACAACTAAGAATGCATCTCAACCACCCAAAATTAGCTAAATCTTGATAAGTACAGCCAAGTTCTTGACATCATAGTAACAAGTTTCAAGGATTAGTTGTTAACTACAATCAACAATGTTGACTTGAACAAACAGTAAGTTTCTGAGGGAAAAAATGTACATCCTTATCATTTATATGTACATAAATTACCCAGCAAGTACGACCTTAATTGCCTACAGAGTTAGAGAAACTAACAGAGAAAAATGTACAAAATGGAAATGAAGAGTTGCATGTAAGATCTAGATGAAGTAAACATGAAAATGCACATAACATGAGCCAAGTAATGAGTTTAATGGTATCCAAGTGTTCTTCAGTTCACAGTGACATGCACTTCAGAAAAATGACGGCAAAAAGTTATTGAAAAACTTCCTGGTCAGAAGAAAGGCACATAGAAAGTCAGACCTCAAATCAACTTGTACACTTGGTATATCTTAAAATCAAAACCAGAGATCTTTATCGCTGCCACCTTTGAGGAAAATAAGTTCAAAAGGTCCATATTTTGCAGGAACTTTTAGCAAAAGAGAAAAAAAAAAAAATTTATTTTTACTTTTTTCCTATATTTCAAAAATGTTATCAAGAGTCCAACAACTTGCAACGTCAGAATTCTGAACTGGCAAACAGACATGAAAACTCATGCCTTGAATAGCAAAGACCTAATGATTCATGCTTGATATTTACTTATAAAAACTTGTGGAGTGCTTGTCTTACCTTCTTTGCCAACTCCAGTCTCTTGCTACAGTCTTGTATCGAATGAACAAGACAATCAGAATGCTCATTCCCATCTTTACCATTATCTAATATTTTCTCCATCTCATTAACCTTTCCTTGCAATTTTGAACGCTCTAAACTGCAGTGGGACTGAAAATCAGATTCCTGCCTCTCAAGTGCCTGAAAAAACGTTCAGCCTGGACTCAGCCACGTTTAATAAGCTAAAGGAAAAATAACTTAAGGAAAGATGCATAAAATTTTTATAGAAAAAAAGAGAGAAAAATCCAAAATCCATGTATGAACAAAGGTACGCAAAATTCCAAGAATATATATCATCTTGGAGCAAGTTAAAATACTGATAAATGGAAGACAAAGTTTTTTTTCCCTTCGTTTTTATCAACACTTTCTAAATCCTTCAATTGAGAAACAAACATTCACAGAAATATGATCCATATTTCCACCTCTTAAGATTAGAGTAAGGCTACATTAGGCGGCATGGTATTGGGGCCTGGTAAACAAAGCAGAAAGTTTGCTTTCGTTCAGACTTGAACTGAAATTTTTCTGAAATCATAATTCTAAGGCTCAAACTCCATGCTGCCAAATGCAGCACAAGCAGACCTGGCAAGAGGGAACGTAGCCAATGAATAATAATCGGCAATTCCAGAAAAGGAATCATGAAATAACCTTCAAGGATTCCAAAATAGAAACCAGTCTCCAACCTAGTGCAGAATCTGGGCAGTCTTTATCAATTCTTTCTCGTATAATTTGTATTTCATCCAAAATACTAGCTTTCCTTCGATTCTGAAAAACACGACATTGCTAATAGTGAAGATATTTACTAACAGAAACGTATAAAGAAAAAATAAAATGTTCAAACCACAAGAGAACGCAGAATTGAAATGCAGACTCACTAACCAATTCTTCAAGATTTTCCATTAGTTGCCCTTCAACAGTCTGCAATCCCTCACCATTCTGCCAGTAAAATAAAATTAACAACCAGAAATTAATTCAACCTGATCAAATTTCACCTAACGGATGTCCAGTCATTATAGCAGATTGTATTTGGTGATCAGTTCGAGTTAAACAAACTGAACTCATATTGGAAGGATTAAACAGAAACAAGTAGTGATAAAACAGGTGAAATTACCTCATCTTTCGCCATTGTTGGGTGAAAATCGTATGCTTCTGACAATGCAAAAAACCTATCGAAATCACAAATTATGCAGAAGGGTCCTGGAATTAGAGCAAACTCCAAGTTTGGATGAATTAAAGGCACATTAAAACAATTGATTTATACGGATTATTGATTACGCGTGATGGAATTGAAAAGTTGTAATTTACCCTCACTCGCGTAGGATACTTATTGCTAATTATAAAAAAAAAGAAAGAATGGGGACATAATTATAAATTTATAAACGTTTGAGGATGTAAAGTGAACTTTAGAAAATTAAATTCGGAACCTCCGCTGTTTTAAACAAACCAAACACGCCCTTAAGAGTTTAAAAAACAAAGAACCCGAAGAGAAGACACTTTAAAACCCTAGAACGCTCTCTCTCTCTCTCTCGCACGCGTGAAAGACTTGCTATTAACAATGGCGACTATGATGGTAAGTTTAATCTCTCTTCCCCAAAACTATGTAATATGCATCTGTGTAAAGTTGTACGCTTTTGTGTCATTTCATATTGTATTACTCTCTGTACCCATTGATGTTTTTTATCCATTTCTCAGCTAGTAGAGTCTAGTCTACAAGTACTCAGTTCATTAATTGTAGGGGACAACGATAAGTATTAAAGGTTACTAACTGCATATTTTCAGTGAAGATGGAGTGGGGAAAATTCTGAAAATTGAGATTTATATTTCCGGTTCTACTTAACTTATGAATGTTACTAGTTAATTATTGATGGGTTTACATTTTCTATCAAGGAAATGCCATTAGGAGTAGGGAAATTGAACATGTTCAACTTTTGCAGTCCAGTTAAAGTTAAGATCCGCATATTAAAAATTGAGTCCCCTGGAAAGAAGACAGTATAACTGACTTTGGCGATTGTGAAGTTAGATGTACATCAATTTTTTTGGATCATAATAAATTTATAAATGTAATGCGCTGAATATTTTTGACAGCCTTCTCCATTTACTTCAGCTTCTGGGGAATGCATTATCCTCCCCCTGCTTCTTTAATAACTTCTGAAACTTCAAGTTTTAAAAGTAAGCTGTTCTACTTTGCATGATAAATTGAGTTGCTGTTTTGATAACTCTGGAAATAAATGTTAAGAGATAGCAAACACTTGGGGAGCAATTTTCAAGTTACTTGTCGTCACTCGTTACCATTTGTTATTTTTTATTTGTTCTAAATTTCATGGTTATTGATTTTTTATAAGCAGCGTTTCCATTTTATTCCTGTTTTAGTTTTTCTTTCCTTCCCAGAATCATTAAACCAATAATAGTCGATTTTATTAAAAAAGTTGAAAAATATCATTTTTTTTGTGTTTTTTATATTCTTCGGTTCTTTGAATACAAAAGCTAAAATCTGTTTGTCAAACAATAGCAACCTCAAATCATACTGCTGAAGGAAGGGACAGATACATCCCAAGGAAAACCACAGTTAATAAGCAACATAAATGCGTGTATGGCTGTGGCCGATGTAGTGCGGACCACTCTTGGTCCGAGGGGTATGGACAAGCTAATCCATGACGAGAAGGGAAACACTACCATTTCGAATGACGGGGCCACCATAATGAAGCTTCTTGACATCGTTCACCCTGCTGCAAAGATCCTCGTGGATATTGCCAAGTCACAAGACTCCGAGGTATCAATATCCTTGGAATTTTGTTGTTGTAGTCTCATCTTAGACATCAATATTCTATATGGCTAAGAAATTGTCACCGCTCAATGTTGTTTTTTTCTGCAGGTTGGCGATGGAACCACTACAGTAGTTCTGCTTGCTGGAGAATTTCTAAAGGAAGCAAAACCATTTATTGAGGATGGAGTTCACTCTCAAAATCTTATAAGGAGTTATCGAACAGCTAGCCATTTGGTAATTATTTTAAAATCCTTTTTTGCCTTCTTGAATTTGGGCATAACCTGAGGTCTACATGTTTCTCATGTAACGTGTTCTGTAATAGGCCATCGAGAAAGTTAAAGAATTAGCCGTTAGTATAGGGGGAAAAAGCTTAGAAGAGAAGAAGAATTTGTTGGCTAAATGTGCTGCTACAACACTCTCTTCGAAGCTTATTGGTGGTGAGAAGGAGTTCTTTGCATCCATGGTTGTGGATGCTGTCATTGCCATTGGAAATGAAGATAGGCTAAATATGATTGGAATTAAGAAGGTATAAGAACCTGATGTTCAATCTTAAAACTTATATAAATTTTTCTCTTATATAAATCTTTCTTGCTTGTTTTTGATTGATTATAACACTAATTTTTCTGTATGGATGTGAATGTTTAGGTTATAAAAGTTTGGTTACTTGGTATTACATCTTTACAGTGGTGCATTTTTGCGTCTTGAACTCTTGTCAATAATATTGTTTGGAGTAGTTTAATTACGCTCTTAGCATTGTTGCTGTGATATTACAAATTTGAATGGAAGAAAATGTCCATTGCTGATAACTTCATCGCACATCTTGTTATAGTTTAGACAGTTAAGCTTAACTGTTGTGCTTTTATCTCAACATTTTTATGGATCTCTAGACGTTGATGTATAGATAGATAGAATGTCTTTTGTTAAGCTTTTGGCTGATGTATATAGTCATATCAATGGATGGATTCTCTATGATTTATAGGGTGCACTATCTTAAAGCTTGTCAGTGAAATATTTGTTTTTCATAAACAAGATTACGCAATATGTTATTGTTGTTGGAAGAGACACATGGAGCATATAAGATTTGTACCATAACTCGATTTAAGGAAAAAGGAATTCTGAGAAACAAGTTCTGAATAATTTTGCAGATTTTTGATTTATATATACCCTTAATATTTTTTTAGAAAAAAGGCAAAAAAGAATTAGTAAGTCGTAGTCGGTCTGCCGGAAAAGTAAGTTCAGGCAAACTCAATGGCATAAGAGCAAAGGAGGTACATGGGAGCTTTAATTGAATTCATCTTATTACTTCTTTCCAAGTTTAGTTGATGAAAGGTGTTATTATATGGTTTTCTTTATACATGACCTGTGCCACCTCTGATGCTATGCTAGTATAATTTGTATTTATCAATTATGTTCTGTAATTGTAAAAGACAATAACATAGAGCAGGCAAGTTAATATTTTGTGCCGCTACAGCATTATGTGGAAGGAAATGCCATCACATTCTTTAGGTTGTTAAAGAATGTTCAATGCACAGGATTTAGTCAACTTAAGAAGTGAGACTCTACAATTCATATATAAGCACACACAATTGACAGAGGTGATATCTTACAGGAGGGTACCATGCAGGTTTCTTCCCCACATTATGAAATATATTCACCATTTTGTGTAGATTGTCAATTACTATTCTTATTGGCAACTTTCGCACACAAACGATTAAGTAGATTAGTAGAGGCCATGGAAACTAGGAAATCTATCTATAGTGCGGTGTGTCCTGATAGGATCTTTGTTTTGAGGCTCAGGGATCATAATATGGATATCACAATTCCTTCGTGTATTATTTAGGTAGAAGAATAGCCAACGATTCTGGAAGCATGATCCAAGATGTACTAATATATCATTTAACAATTTGAGCCCATGAAATGTTTCTGAGACAGTTAGAATGAGTTGAACTGGAAATTATTGTTTTTACTTGTTTTTACTCTAAACATAGAGCAGACTCTTTAACCTACTTGGCACTTGGCAGTTGCTTCATTTAAAAACTTGAATGTATTGGAGTATCTTGGTTCTTATCCGAAGTTTGGAATTTTAATAAAAAACTTTTTATTTGCTACATTTGATATATTCAGCAATGCAACTATCAAATAGAGTTGTTCTTAGATTATACTGTACCTATGCCCTTTCTCCCTTCGTACTTGTACCCCAATGTACAGAAAATGTCATTCTCACTGCTTTTGTAGGTTCCTGGAGGTAACATGAGGGATTCTTTTCTTGTGAATGGAGTTGCCTTCAAAAAGACATTCTCGTATGCTGGTTTTGAACAGCAACCAAAGAAATTTGAAAACCCCAAGATACTTTTGTTAAACATAGAATTGGAGCTAAAATCAGAGAAAGAAAATGCTGAGATAAGGTAGGATTGACCTTATTAGATTTATTCTACTTTCTCCAATTTGACCTCTGGTAAGTACAGAGAATGCTTATTTAATTATTTTGGCTGACAATTTTTTACACCCTCACAGGTTGTCAGATCCACTACAGTATCAATCAATTGTTGATGCTGAATGGAATATCATATATGACAAGTTGGACAAATGTGTTAAGAGTGGAGCCAAAGTTGTTCTGTCACGGCTTGCTATTGGTGATCTGGCAACACAGGTGCTGACTGTAGTATTCTCTTTTTACTTGTTAACTCATGTAGTTTTTTTGAAGAAAATTCTTAATCCAAGCTATTAGCTGAACATATTGAGTTTTTGAAGAATCAGCTACTTCATGTATATTTATTGATTTGGTCAAGAAGCACAGGCTTGAATGGAATTTTGCATATTTATGACACTTAATTGATCCAATTTCTGACAAAAACATTGTTTACAACTTTCACATTGATGTCACATGAAGATTTGACGAGTGAACTTTTTATTGAAGTAGTGAATGACAATGATAATCCATGCCATAAGTGCACGTGGGGGCAATAGATGGGTTATGTTCAAATTCGTATTTTGGCTTTATAGCGTTGTTAGGTAATGTAGTTTGTCATCTCTATGATTTGTATATTATGATTATAGAACTAAAAGGAAATCATTTTGCCGGAAGGTTACGAATCACATGGGCATTATTGTAGCAAGAAGAATGATTTGAGTTCATAATATTTATTTACAAGGAAAAATTTCTTAATTGCTGTCTGTTTGCAGTATTTTGCAGATCGAGATATATTTTGTGCAGGACGTGTTACAGAAGAAGATCTGCAGCGGGTTGCTGCTGCTACTGGTGGAACAGTGCAAACAACCGTGAACAACATTATTGATGAGGTTGGTCATAATTTTTATCACTGATTTAAACTGACCAAATGCATATGCCCTCCTCTCGAGGATGTTACAGATTTTTTTTCCTGATAAATGTATATTAATATCTGCTGATCCAAATGTCAACCTTTTCTTTTCCTGTGGATAAGGTTCTCGGTTCTTGTGAGCTTTTCGAGGAGAGTCAAGTAGGAAATGAGCGATTTAATATATTTAGTGGATGCCCATCTGGTTGCACTGCCACTATAGTTCTGCGTGGTGGAGCAGATCAGGTTGGTGACTATTACTATTCTGCATTGTTGCGTGATTTAGACTCTGTCCCCATAACATTTTTCTTTGCTGATTTCAGTTCATTGAGGAGGCTGAGAGAAGTTTACACGATGCAATTATGATTGTCAGAAGGGCTCTGAAAAACTCCACCGTTGTTGCTGGTGGTGGTGCTATTGATGTATGAATTCTTTATCACCTTGTACGAGGTGTATATTTAAGAATGCTCAATCTTGTCAATTTAATCATTAAAAGATGTCTTGCACGTGCAGATGGAAGTAAGCCGATACTTGAGGCAGCATGCACGTACAATAGCTGGGAAGTCTCAGCTCTTTATAAACTCTTATGCAAAAGCTCTTGAGGTAGTTACCGCCAAAGTAATATTGCTAGTTCTTTCTGAGAAAAACCATTACATCAAGAAACTAGACCTCCAAGATGGATATAAATATTTGTTCATCTATACAATATCTGCTTCTAAATTTAACCATTTGTTTCAGGTTATCCCGCGGCAACTGTGCGATAATGCTGGTTTTGATGCAACTGATGTGTTGAACAAACTAAGACAAAAACACGCTCTTCCATCCGGTTAGCCAATATTTGATTATTATTACACACCACTTTATATTTGCCGTATAGTCTGCTCAAGTAGGTGAATGCATTGTCATTCACCTTCGTAGTTTGTACTGCTTTGCCTGTGTTGAGATGAATGTTTTGGTGTTTCATGGGTCTTTTTCAAACATAAAGCGCGTGTTTGGTACACAGTAGTGCATAGAATTGGACAATAAAATAATTAAGATTTTAACTCATTTTTTCTTTCTTAATAACTTCTAGCACGTCCAGTCCTCCCTACATAATGTGGCATATGTGTGTTAACTTGTACTGAGATTTGAACAGGAGAGGGTGCACCTTATGGTGTAGATATCAACACTGGTGGAATTGCTGATTCATTTGCTAACTTTGTTTGGGAGCCTGCAGTTGTTAAGGTATCTTTGAATTGCGCTTAGTTATGGGACTTTTATTTTTTGATATTTTCAGTGCGCTTGCTAACAACTTCTATGTTTTCAAATCCTTCCCTTTACAGATTAATGCTATAAATGCAGCTACTGAAGCAGCTTGCCTTGTGTTGAGTGTTGATGAAACCGTTAAGAATCCTAAGGTAATTTCAATCGTGTCAATGTCTTGGAACTCAAATTCCATTAAATTCATGAAAGTCTTTTATTCATCGGAGTAACCATTATATCTGAGTGCGTGCACTACTCTTATCTTCGGAATTTGGGCATGTTTTGGTATTATAATGAAAAACATTTCATCAGATAAGACCATCGTTGTCGTGATTCAAGCTTGCATACATGTTAGTGTTGGCTCTATACCAAGATAGCAGTAGCAACCTTCAGTTGTACCACTTATGAATAAACCATGATCCTCAGTTTTGGCTCTAATTATTTCATATGCAACGTTATTTCAGACATTTGTCTCTCCATTTTTAAATATCAGATATCCCCCCATATGCTGCAGTTTCAACTTCCACTTGAAATGTGGTCCTCGTGTATTGATATCAATTGCACTTTGGTTTCTTTGGATACAGTCGGAGAGTGCACAAGGAGAAGCTGCTGCAAGTGCCATGGGTGGCAGAGGACGAGGTGGAGCTGCTTTCCGAGGTCGTGGACGGGGAATGAGGAGGTGATGAGGGTTTGCAGTTCTCCCTCTCACTGAAAATATTATTTGCTGAATATTGGTTTACAATTTCCACATTTTTTTCCCTCTATTATCTGGTTTTTTTGAACCCCCCCCCACAACTCCAGTAATTTTAGTACAGTGTGTTTAACACTTGAAAAGTTTTGATTCTTACCAAGATTTGCTTATTATTGCTGTTTTTATTTTGTAATTTTATGTCAGTTTTAGCCTTGTCCCCATTTATACTGGGCCGAACTCTTTCGCCACCTTTTACTTTTCCGTTGTCTTGCTCGTACGATTGATCTTTGACAACTCATAATCTTCGTGCCTCATCGGAATTATTTGATCACGTCGATGAATTAAAATGTACAGGATAAAGTAAACAGAGGATTCTTGTAATCAATTTTAATGTCTTCGTAGAAAATTGAGAAGGATGTTTTAAGAGATGCCTTTTACGTAAACAAAAGGATGGGACAATAGAAACTCAAATTTAGAATTTTACAGGCAAATTTGCATAATGAGAATGATCTACAGAGTCATGAAAGACATTCAAAATACCCAAAAAATGATTAAAAAATAAGTAAAAAGGAAGCATTTTCCGGTGAGAATTAGGACCTAAGTTAAACCTTTAGAATGGTTTGTTACGTCCTTGTACGACAATTCACCTGTAAAATTGGGATATAAAATATAGTTTCAAGAATTCAACTTTCCATTGTTCGGCCTCAAAAGCACCATTCATTCGGCAATCTCTCAATCATCTCCATTCATTCTGGAGATACATATACATCAAGATTTAAGGGCAATTTTATCAAAATGAAGTAGACTGATGGTGACTCGAGATGATCAAGGGTGTGTCTGTTAGAAATTTTCATCAGATTTTGATCAGAAAAGTTAACGTTTTTTTCAACTTGTGGTTCCCACCTGTGAGACATGAGGTCAACAATTGCTGTTGAGTTTAAAAATTAACGGTACAAAAATCTCTTTTTTGGTTTAAAAAACTCCACCAGACACACCCTAAGGAAGTCGGAAAGAAGAATTGAGATCCAATGTTGACTTTCAGTTCGAAAATCATCTCAAAGAATTTTAAGACCTTTGTAGGTTACTGATTTGGAACCTCTCATTTGGTTGTGCCAACGAAAAGATGCACTAAAACGTGCACATGCCCAAGTATTTCAAATCCATCCATATTGCTCAAAATAAGAATTTCTAAATCATTGATAAGTGTATTTTACCAAACCCCTAAATTTATTTAATATTTGATTATTTGAGCCATTTCTATATTGTTTTTAATGTGAAAACCCCAACTTGGAGTTGAATTTCGAGTTTTGGAAGCTTAATTGAAAAAAAAAAAATGGATTAAATTGCAAGACCCTCGTTTGAGCCCCATTTTCACAAAAAATGAATTTTGTCATAGCTAACTTTAGAGAATGTGTGTTTAAAAATGAGTTTGAAAAAATTGAGTTTTTAAATAATGAGGATCAAACATGAGAGTAGGTGTGTCAATCTTTCTTGTGTGTTCCACTGTCAAACTATCTATCTTACGCATTTACAAATTATCTTCCATTCTTGCAACAAAGTCACGATAGGCTAGGCTTTTTGTTGCTAGGATTATGACAAAACCTTGTTGAAAATTTTAATTTAATTCTTGTTGATTAATTTAATTCTTGTTGATTATTTGTTATTGAGCTAGTTGTCATCCTACTATTTTGCTAATTCTAGGATTATTTTTGAAATTCCTGATTATACCTTTAAATCACGTTTCTAGCTGGGAAAAATTTATGGTTCAGACATTTACTTTACCAAAATTAAAAATTCGGTCCCAAAGTTTAAATTTGCAAAAATCAGGTTTTTTTTTTGAATTAATTAATTATATTTCACAATTATTATATTAAATTAAATATTTAAGTGTAATATAATATAATCCACCCCACCCCACCCCCACCACCCCCCATTGCTCCGGCGACTACTCCGGCGACTGTTCTCCGGCCGTACTTATTTCCGGCGACCACTCCGATTCCGACAACTGTTAAGGTCACAGTTATATACAAT